TACAGCGCTTCGTAGCCCCATAGGAGCTCCGCCGAAGGCCCCAGTGCTGCCGCCCGCATGCGCCACCCACGCCCAATTCGGCACACCCCTCACACGCTTCGTGGCCCCATAGGAGCTCCGCCGAAGGCCCCAGTGCTGCCGCCCGCATGCGTCACCCACACCCAATTCGGCACACCCCTCACACGTTTCGTGGCCCCATAGGAGCTCCGCCGAAGGCCCCAGTGCTGCCGCCCGCATGCGTCACCCACACCCAATTCGGCACACCCCTCACACGTTTCGTGGCCCCATAGGAGCTCCGCCGAAGGCCCCAGTGCTGCCGCCCGCATGCGTCACCCACACCCAATTCGGCACACCCCTCACACGTTTCGTGGCCCCATAGGGAGCTCCACCGAAGGCCCCAGTGCCCGCGCCCGCATGCGAGGGCACACCCCTCACACGTTTCGTGGCTAGGGAGGAAGGCCCCAGTGCTGCGCCCGCATGCGTCACCCCCCATTCGGCACACCCCTCACACGTTTCGTGGCCCCATAGGGAGCTCCACCGAAGGCCCCAGTGCTGCCGCCCGCATGCGTCACCCACACCCAATTCGGCACACCCCTCACACGTTTCGTGGCCCCATAGGGAGCTCCACCGAAGGCCCCAGTGCTGCCGCCCGCATGCGTCCCCCACACCCAATTCAGCACACCCCATTCACAAAAAAGAAGAAAAAATCGGAAAGAGAAAGGGGAAAAGAGGGGGAAAAAGAGGTAAAAGTAAACGTTTCGTGGCCCCACAGGGAGCTCCACCGAAGGCCCCAGTGCTGCCGTCCGCATGCGTCCCGCACACCCATTTCGGCACACCCCTCACACGTTTCGTGGCCCCATAGGGAGCTCCACCGAAGGCCCCATTGCTGCCGACCGCATGCGTCCCGCACACCCATTTCGGCACACCCCTCACACGTTTCGTGGCCCCATAGGGAGCTCCACCGAAGGCCCCAGTGCCGCCGCCCGCATGCGTCAGTTACACCCAATTCGGCACACCCCTCACACGTTTTCGTGGCCCCATAGGGAGCTCCACCGAAGGCCCCAGTGCTGCCGCCCGCATGCGTCAGCCACACCCAGTTCGGCACACCCCTCACACGTTTCGGTGGCCACATGGGGAGCCCCGCCGAAGTCCCCCAGTGCTGCCGCCCGCATGCCGTCACCACACCCTTTTGGCGCGCGATCACCCCTCACCGTTCGTGGCCTCCATAGGAGCTCCGGCCCGCCGAAGGCCCCAGTGCTAGCAGAGCCGAGCCCCGCATGCGTCAACCCACACCCAATTTCGGCACACCCCTCCCACGCTTCGTGGCCCCATAGGGAGCCCCGCCGAAGGCCCCAGTGCTGCCGCCCGCATGCGTCCCGCACGCCCAATTCGGCACACCCCACGCGTTTTGCGGCCCCATAGGGAGCCCCGCCGAAGGCGCCAGCGCTGCCGCCCGCATGCGTCACTCACACCCAATTCGGCACACCCCTCACACGCTTCGTGGCCCCATAGGGAGCTCCACCGAAGGCCCCAGTGGCGGCGCTCACATGCGCATGCGTCCCGCGCACGTCCATTTCGGCACATCCCTGACATGTTTCGTGGCCCCATCGTCCACCGGAGGCCCCCAGTGGCGCCGCTCACATGCGTCACCCACACCCACCCAATTCGACACACTCCTCACACGTTTCGTGGCCCCATAGGGAGCTCCACCGAAGGCCCCAGCGGCCGCGCTCACATGCGCCCCCGCCACCCATCCCGGCACGCCCCTCACAACAACAGGTTTCGTGGCCCCATAGGGAGCTCCACCGAAGGCCCCAGTGGCACCGCCCGCATGCGTCACCACCCGCACCCAATTCGGCACACCCCTCACACGTTTCGTGGCCCCATAGGGAGCTGCACCGAAGGCCCCAGTGGCGGCGCTCACATGCGTCCCCGCCACACATCCCAGTACACCCCTCACGCGCTTCGTGGCCCCATAGGGAGCTCCACCGAAGGCCCCAGTAGCGGCGCTTACATGCGTCTCCGCCACCCATCCCGGCCCCCCCCCCCGCAGCAGCATCATGTTTCGGGGACCCATAGGGAGCTCCACTGGAGGCCCCAGTGGCGGCCCGCACATGCGTTTCCGCCACCCATGTCGGCACGCCCCGCGCGTGCTTCATGTCCCCATAGGGAGCTTCGCCGAATGCCCCAGTGGCACCCATCTCGGCACACCCCTCACACGTTCTGTAGTCCGATGGGGAGTTCCATTGACGATGAAACCCGCAGCTGCGGTACTGACAACTGCATATGGTTGGGTTCTTCGCCAAGCTAATGTTTAAGGCCGCTTCTTCTGGCAGTCATTCGCAGAGTACACGTAGGTGCGCCCACCTACGGGCCATTCTTTTCCACGGCAATAGCACAGCGGGCACGATCCCTCGGGGATCGGATACTTCCGCGTGCGCTGCCGTTTCGTTGGCGCCAAACCCGGCGTGGCGGCGTCGGCAAGAGCCAGAGGCGCAGCCGGAGCAGTGTCGGCAGCGACGGCAGACGAGAGAGGCTCAGAGCTGGCGCGCGCGTCGCACAAGGCAGGACGAACTGGCAGGGCGGCACCGGCGGAAGCAGACTCGGCAGACGAGCTCGTCGAAGAAGAACTCGAAGAACGAGAGCGTGCACCGAAAGCAAGGGCGCTCTGTAGACGCTTTCGGTAAATGGCGAGCTTCCTGTTGATACGATCCATTTTGAGCTGGTGCTTGGCCTTTTTGACCTCCAGGCTCGCAATTTTCGCCTCGATCCCGCTGATTCTCTTCTGCCCCATTGCGGCTGTGAGGTGAGGGGCACGAACTCACATCAGCTGGGGCCGAAATGACACCGGAACGAGGTGATGAATTAGGCGACGGAAGATGGGAAAACTGATCCAGTACTGAGTTACAGGCGAAGACAGGTGACAGGTATCAGAGGTGGCACTACAGGCCTAAATGGCCCTGGGGCGTCGTCGTCGTCGTGTACGTCGTCCGGACACTCCGGAGGGAGGAAAACGCTCAACTTTACATGGGTGCCCGTTTGCTAACACCCAAACTTAGTAAGCAAACCCTCTGTTCTGGCATGCCCCCAGAGCGCAAGCAATACATAGAGGGCACAGCGAATCAGAACATATAGAATTTCTGCTTCTCCTACTATTCTGCCTCCTCCTCAGCCCTGGGAGCACAGGAGAGGGCGGATGAGCAGAGAAAGAGGAAGAGGACGGGAGGGGGAGGAAGAGAATGAGGATGGGGAGGAGGACTCAAGGGCATAGGAAGCGGTTTCAACGATGCCAGCTCGGGCGCAGTGCAGCAGCAAGAGCAAGCTGTGCGCCCAGTCTGTGACGCATCGTCTCGGTGACATTTGGGCTATCTGCCTAAAGCAGATCCGCTGACCCCCGCTTGCCTGAGGTGAAAAGGCGTGTGAGAAATTTGGCTGTCGTTCCCCTTTTGCCGTCTCCCCGGGAATCCACAAGCGCATTCGAGGAGGAGCGCGAAGGGTGCGGGGACGTGCTCCTAAACAGATCTCTGGAGATTCCGGAGCCTCCAATGAGGCCGAAGACTGCTCAGACGGAGCGCCAAGACAGGCCAAGGGAGCGTCGAGGTCGCCCAGGGCAGGTCCACGACAGCCCAATAGGACTTGGCGACGGCCCACGAGGCTTCGAAAACGGCCCAGGAGTGCTCCCAGAGGACCACAGAGAAGGCCCCTAGAACGAAAATGGTCTCAGTCTGTCCGAAAATTATACATTTCGAGCATACTCGCCTTTTGGCGGATTGAGAGCGTTGAAAACTGTCCAAGGAGCTCCCTAGAGCGTCCCAAACCGGGCCATGAGGTACCCAAGAGGGCTCGAAGACGCCCCCAACTAGCCTCAAGACGGCCACAGGGGTCTTCAAAACGGTCAAAGGGAGCCTCCGGGGTGCCAAAAGGGAAAATCCGTACTAATTATCAGTTCGAGCTTTTGCCCCGCAGATGGCCACAATAGCGTCCAAGAGGCTCCCGAGGAGCTCCGAAGAGATCCGAGGAAGCCTCCACGAGGGTCCCAAGGCGCTTCCAATTCGAAGTCTCCAAGGGACTCCCAGAAGGCGCGTCAAAGAACTCCGCAAAGCGCCCCACACCCTCAGGATGCCCCGAAGAGCTCTCAAAGAGGTTCGCCAAAAGCATCCCAGGAGGCCCCCATATGCATCCCAGGGACTAACGACCAACGCGATAACATCCACGACCGTCGCAAGCTCTCACTCACTCGTTCTCTGGGTCGTCGTCGTCCTCCTTCTCCTCCTCCTACTCCTCCTATTCTCCTCCACCTCCTCATCATCATCATCCTCTTCTTATATTCCCCTTCCGCTCCTTCCCCCAATAGAACCTCCCCCCCTCATCTCTTCCTTCTAATATTGCTTTTGCGCCTCCCTCCTGCGTCCCCCATTCATCCTCGCTCCTGGTGCTTGGTGGTCATCGTCTTCGTTAGTGTACCAGCGATCGTCCAATACTCTCTGCCTCTTCTGGGGGTCGGCGGAATGACGTACGCCAATTGAATAAATGGCACGCCAACACAAATCCGACGGGCGGGCATCCCCCAACACGCAGACCAGCCAACCGCAACGCGGATGTCAATGACACGGTCTCGGTGCGTGACAAATTCGGTCGGAAACGGGACCCCGCAACACAGGATGCTTATGTATCGGCACTCCGTAACACGGCGCTCCGCACCCACGGCCCGACGGAGGCTGAGGGAAGTAGTCGAGATCCCGGGGGTGATCTCCAGGGACGTCGTACAAAAGACGCACAGCATTGGCTCTTTGCGTGCGCGTTGCAAATGAGCCGCTCTCCATCCGTGTAGCTGTTGGTATATGTTAGACGGAACATGCGCGACGCGAAATCGAAAGGGACATTTTGAACACGGCAGGCCCTCCATCCGAGTCGCTGTTACCAGAGCCGAAAGCGTTCCTGACCTCAACGTGTCGGGTGTATGTGTTAAGGATATCAAGGTAGTGGAGGAAGGTGTTGTTTTGGCTAGCAACGCTGATAGGGTAGACGGACCACGCGAGGGCAATCTTGCTGGCAAGGTGATCGGCCGGCGCACGTCAGGGTATTGCCTGTACGAGCTCGGCTCCCCTATCCTTTCGGTTGTCGATTCTGCCCTAAAAAGTTTGGAGGAGTAGTGAAGTTGAGGAAAATGGGAGAATGGGCTCGCGGGGCGGCTTCTGCATGTAATGTGCAACTCGAGGAGCCCGCTTAACGGAGATCGCCGCGGCGCGGCAAACGAAGCACCAGCTGCGCGATCCCCGCGCGGCGGGGGCGCTCGCGGAAGCGCGAGACCCGAAGTCATCGAGATCGAGGGCGGGGTGAGGGGAGGGTCCGGGCTGGAAGGGAGGGGGGGGGGTTCGCCCCGGAAGGGGGGAGGAGCTCGGGGGGGGGGGTCCGCTCCGGGGGGAAAGGGGGGTCCGGCTCGGGGAGGGGGGGTCCGGCCCGGGGGGGGGGGGGTCCCGGACCGGGGGAAAGAGGTTCTGCTCGGGGAGGGGAGGTCCGGCCCAGGGGGGGGGGGGGGGGTCCGGCCCGGGGGGGGGGAGGCCACAGTGGGGGCACTAGTGGGGTCACAAGTGGGGCCACAGGGGGCGCACTTGTGGGGTCACAAGTGAAGCCGCAGTGGGGGCACTTGTGGGGTCACAAGTGAGGCCAGTGGGGGCACTACTGGGGTCACAAGTGGGGCCACAGTGGGGGCACTTCTGGGGTCACAAGTGAGGCCACAGTGGGGGCACTTGTTGGGGTCACAAGTGAGGCCACAGTGGGGGCACTTCTGGGGTCACAAGTGAGGCCATAGTGGGGGCACTTGTGGGGCCACAAGTGAGGCCACTTTGAGACACGTGTGTGACACTTGTGAGGGCACTGTGACGCCACTTCAGCCTCAGGCGCCTAGTCAGCGCTCCAGGGCCGGCGGAATGAGCGAAGCGATTAAATATAACTAGAATCACGCGCGCTTCGCGCGCTTAGGTTCTAGCCCAGCCCATGACGCTGTGATGACACGAAGGTCAGGGTTTACGGGCGACTCGCTGTCGGAAAGGGTTGCGACCGTCTTGGGCGGGTTATGGCATGTCGCAGGGCTTCCTTGGACTGGCTTTGGGGCTGTTAGGCGCTGCATCGGGGGGGCACGTGTCTTTGGCCCCAATGGCGCCGTCCAGGGTTGCCAGATCGTTGCCACGACACGCAAGTCTTGGCTTGCGGGTTCGTCGGGCAGATCGCTGAACAGCCTTGGGGCTTTGACTCCATTGACTGTCTACCTGATGAAATGTCGAGGCCGTAGTTCGCTGGTCTGTGGACAAAAATTGCCTTGACATAGAAGGCACGCGCTGCACACGCCAGCTGGCGGAGCACGTGCAAAAGAACGAAGAATGCAAGACGACGCAGAGCAAACTGCCTTGACGCATCATAATGCACGCGCCGTCACGCTGGGTGGCAGAGCACTTGCAGGAAGATAGAGGAAAGACGGGGGAAGGGGGGAACGCAACCTTGAGACTGTCTTGTTCCCCACCATCCTGTGGTGTTGGGTCCTCGTTTTGAAGAGACGTCGCCCCGCGTGCTCCTCTCCTCTCCTCCTCTCCTCTCCTCTCCTCTCCTTCTCCCCCTCCTCCCTCCTCCATTCCGGCACACCCCTCACACGTTTCGTGGCCCCAAAGGAGCTCCGCCGAAGGCCCCATTGCTGTCGCCCGCATGCGTCACCCACACCCAATTCGGCACACCCCTCACACGCTTCGTGGCCCCATAGGAGCTCCGCCGAAGGCCCCAGTGCTGCCGCCCGCATGCGTCACCCACACCGAATTCGGCACACCCCTCACACGCTTCGTGGCCCCATAGGAGCTCCGCCGAAGGCCCCAGTGCTGCCGCCCGCATGCGTCACCCACACCCAATTCGGCACACCCCTCACACGTTTCGTGGCCCCATATAGCTCCGCCGAAGGCCCCAGTGCTGCCGCCCGCATGCGTCACGCACACCCAATTCGGCACACCCCTCACACGCTTCGTGGCCCCATAGGAGCTCCGCCGAAGGCCCCAGTGCTGCCCCGCATGCGTCACCCCACACCAATTCGGCACACCCCTCCACGTTTCGTGGCATAGGAGCTCCCGAAGGCCCCAGTGCTGCCGCCCGCATGCGTCACCCACACCCAATTCGGCACACCCCTCACACGTTTCGTGGCCCCATAGGAGCTCCGCCGAAGGCCCCAGTGCTGCCGCCCGCATGCGTCACCCACACCCAATTCGGCACACCCCTCACACGTTTCGTGGCCCCATAGGAGCTCCGCCGAAGGCCCCAGTGCTGCCGCCCGCATGCGTCACCCACACCCAATTCGGCACACCCCTCACACGTTTCGTGGCCCCATAGGAGCTCCGCCGAAGGCCCCAGTGCTGCCGCCCGCATGCGTCACGCACACCCAATTCGGCACACCCCTCACACGTTTCGTGGCCCCATAGGGAGCTCCGCCGAAGGCCCCAGTGCTGCCGCCCGCATGCGTCACGCACACCCAATTCGGCACACCCCTCACACGCTTCGTCGGCCCCATAGGAGCTCCGCGAAGGCCCCAGTGCTGCCGCCCGCATGCGTCACCCACACCCAATTCGGCACACCCCTCACACGTTTCGTGGCCCCTAGGAGCTCCGCCGAAGGCCCCAGTGCTGCCGCCCGCATGCGTCACCCCCACCCAATTCGGCACACCCCTCACACGAGAGCTTGCGGCCAGCCCGCATGCGTCACCCACACCCAATTCGGCACCCCTCACACGTTTCGTGGCCGCATAGAGAGCTCCGCCGAAGGCCCCAGTGTTGCCGCCCGCATGCGTCACCCACACCCAAGTCGGCACACCCCTCACACGCTTCGTGGCCCCATAGGAGCTCCGCCGAAGGCCCCAGTGCTGCCGCCCGCATGCGTCACCCACACCCAATTCGGCACACCCCTCACACGTTTCGTGGCCCCATAAGAGCTCCGCCGAAAGCCCCAGTGCCCGCCCGCATGCGTCACCCACACCCAATTCGGCACACCCCTCACACGTTTCGTGGCCCCATAGGGAGCTCCACCGAAGGCCCCAGTGCTGCCGCCCGCATGCGTCACCCCCACCCAATTCGGCACACCCCTCACACGTTTCGTCCATAGGAGCTCCGCCGAAGGCCCCAGTGCTGCGCCCGCATGCGTCACCCACACCCAATTCGGCACACCCCTCACACGTTTCGTGGCCATAGGAGCTCCGCCGAAGGCCCCAGTGCTGCCGCCCGCATGCGTCACCCACACCCAATTCGGCACACCCCTCACACGTTTCGTGGCCCCATAGGAGCTCCGCCGAAGGCCCCAGTGCTGCCGCCCGCATGCGTCACCGCACACCCAATTCGGCACACCCCTCACACGTTTCGTGGCCCCATAGGGAGCTCCGCCGAAGGCCCCAGTGCTGCCGCCCGCATGCGTCCGCACACCCAATTCGGCACACCCCTCACACGTTTCGTGGCCCCATAGGAGCTCCGCCGAAGGCCCCAGTGCTGCCGCCCGCATGCGTCACGCACGCCCAATTCGGCACACCCCTCACACGTTTCGTGGCCCCATAGGGAGCTCCGCCGAAGGCCCCAGTGCCGCCCGCATGCGTCACGCACACCCAATTCGGCACACCCCTCACACGTTTCGTGGCCCCATAGGGAGCCCCACCGAAGGCCCCAGTGCTGCCGCCCGCATGCGTCACGCACACCCAATCGGCACACCCCTCACACGTTTCGTGGCCCCATAGGGAGCTCCACCGAAGGCCCCAGTGCTGCCGCCCGCATGCGTCCCGCACACCCAATTCGGCACACCCCTCACACGTTTCGTGGCCCCATAGGGAGCTCCGCCGAAGGCCCCAGTGCTGCCGCCCGCATGCGTCACGCACGCTCAATTCGGCACACCCCTCACACGTTTCGTGGCCCCATAAAGGCCACAGTGCTGCCGCCCGCATGCGTCACGCACGCCCAATTCGGCACACCCCTCACACGTTTCGTGGCCCCAAAGGGAGCTCCACCGAAGGTCCCGGTGGGTGTGCCCTCATTCGTCCCGCACATTCATTTCGGCACACCCCTCACACGCTTCGTGGCCCCATAAGGAGCTCCACCGAAGGCCCCAGTGCTGCCGCCCGCATGCGTCCCGCACGCCCATTTCGGCACACCCCTCACGCGTTTCGTGTCCCCCTTAGGGAGCTCCGCCAAGGGTCCCAGTGGGTGTGCCCGCATGCGTCCCGCACACCCATTTCGGCATGCTCTTCACACGTTTCGTGGCCCCATAGGGAGCTCCACCGAAGGCCCCAGTGGGTGTGCCCGCATGCGTCCCGTACACCCATTTCGGCACACCCCTCACGCGTTTCGACCCCTCACACGTTTCGTGGTCCCATAGGGAACTCCACCGAACGCCCCAGTGGGTGTGCCCGCATGCGTCCCGCACGCCCATTTCGGCACACCCCTCGCACGTTTCGTGGCCCCGTATGGGGGCTCCACCGAAGGTCCCAGTGGGTATGCCCGCATGCGTCCCGCACACCCATTTCGGCACACCCCTCACACGTTTCGTGGCCCCATAGGGAGCTCCACCGAAGGTCCCAATGGGTGTGCCCGCACGCGTCCCGCGCACCCATTCGGTACATCCCTCACACGTTTCGTGGCCCCATAGGGAGCGCCACCGAAGAAGATATTCACAATTGCGGTATTCACAATTGCATATGGTCGGGTCCTTCGCCAGGATAATTTTCTCTGTCTGCAGTGGCTTCGGGAAGGGAGAAGAAGCGAACAAATGGAGATGCCTTCGGCTCACAACTGCCACATGACAGAAGTCCAGCAATTTCGAAATGGCAATTGCGCAAGCACCGAGAGCAGCACTTGCAGTGCACGCTCACACGGTACACGTGCATTGGCCAATAGACTGATAACAAGGCAAGGTATCCTGAGCGAAGACGGCTAGATGTAGGACCATGTACCGGGTGAAGCACGATCACCATCTCAAATAAGTGCCATCCCCTCATCCTAAAACTACTAGCTGCGATAATTCTGTTTCTGGGAAATTCCACAGAACTAAGAGCCTCCTGGAGTGGTGTACGCTCCGCCTGGCAGTCGCTACTTTGAAGAACAACGATTGCAATCGGTGTGCTTGCCAGAGGAGGGGACGAATCCGCCGCTCGACTCGTCGCCCGACTGAGACAAGAAACTCAAAGACCGTGTCCAACCAGGGGCGCTTTCAACGCCCCAGGCAGCCAGGTTCCGAAGGCATGTACGGCGCAGAAGGCCATCGAGACCTAGCGCCAGCTCCTCCCTGATTGCGGGGGAGAGATGGGACGAGTCCAGGCGGGGGAAATCGAGGAAGGGAAAGACGAGAAAGGCAGACGAGAGGCTCGACGCCGACAGGAGGTGACCGCGCGCGGCAAGCGCGGGCGCGCGGCGCAGGGCGATGGCGCGTGGCCGGGCTGGCAGGGCAACGGGGGGGGGGGGAGGGAGTTCGGGAGGTCACGGCTGTACGGAAGATGTGGGACGAACTTGCCCGCGCACGTGCCTGTACACGGAGGTGGATTCTGCACAGTCCATGCTCTCGGCGGACGGGGGGCAGCGTGCCTCGCCCGCCACGCTCCCGAGATGGCCTGGCTTGGGTTGGGCAATCAGCAAGTGGACATGGGCCTCGTACCGATCTGTCGAATCGTCTTTCCTGGAGCGCCGTGCAAGCTTCAAGCTCTGTGGTCCGCCGCTGGATCTGCGCCCGCGTTCAGCAGTGCCGTGGCCACGCCCAGCTCGAACTGCGCGGTGGACTGGCGCATACCCGCGGTCCACTCAGCGGTGCCCAGCGGAGTGTTCGGCACTCCCCTCAAGTCGATGAGGCGGGCGCTGAAGGAGTGGTTCCCCGTTCCCGAGCCGAGGAGCTGGAGCGGAGACTGCCCGCCGACGCTCGTCACGTCGACCTTCGCGCCGTTCTCCATCAGCAGCCTGACCACCTCCGCGCTGCAACCGAGGCGGACCGCGGCGCACAGCGGCCACTCGAAGCGGCAATCCCAGAACGGCTCCTTGGCTGCCTCTGGGTCTGCCTCGATGGCGAGGCGCACTTGCTTCAGGCAGTTTCGCTCCAGGGCCAACAGCAAGGGCTCCGCACGCTCCCTGATTTGCAGAGGCGGCGGCGTTGTAGGCACCCTGGAGCGCACACGCGGCGTACTGGGTGGAGTCGTGCAGACTGTCTGCGACGCCCTGGGGGTCCCGGGCGCGCAGGTTCTGGACGGACCCTGAGCCGAGCACGCCGCCTCTGACACGCGCTTGGGGTTGTCCGAGGACTCGTCGTCGAAGTCGCAGGCCGCTTTGATGGGGCTCTTCAACGAACCTGGCAACTGCGGGACGTCGGGCTGGCCAGTCGGGTAGTCCCGTCTCTGGAGGGGAGCCGACATGTGGCCGAAGTGCACCGCTACGGAAGTGGTCCTGTACAGGGTTGATGCGCAACCAACCTTGCCTCGAGCCAAAATGGCTACAGAGGAACGCAGCCTTGATACTAAATGCATGCGCTGTCACGCCAGAGGAGAACGTACAATAACCCCTCCTGGTCGCACCGGCAGGGCCTCGCGTTCGATGACTATGCCTTCATTGGCTTTCGAGCCACCTCCAGCCGTCCTTCGGCATTCTTTGAGCCTCTTGGGCGGACGCATGCTGGAGATGCGGTCTTGGGCGTCTTTGGGGCCGTTTTGGATCCCTCTTGGGGGCTTGCGTGGTAATCTGGGAAGTCTCTTGGGGCCGTTTGGGGCCGGTTAAGGGGCCTCTCGGGCTGTCTTCGGGCCCTCTCAGGGCCGTGCCGGGGCCGTCTTGGGCCCATCTTGTGCCGTCTTGGAGCCGTCTTGGGCGGTCGGAAGCCAGGAAGAGCGAAAACACAAAAAAACTTCAAACACCTCAAAAACAACAATGCGATTGGCCTCATCAAGGCATCTTTGGGGCGCACTGGGTGCTGGCGTGGGGTGTCCTTGGGACCTCTTGAGCCGCGCTGAGGCCATCCTTAGCGCTCTTGGTGCTCTTTTTGGAACGTCTTCGGCTCATTATGGTTCCTCTTAGGCGGTCTTGGTGTATCTTAGGCTGTCTTGGAGGCCTCTTGGGCCGTCCGGAGTCCTCTTGGAGGCCCCGGGGCAGGGGCATCAAAAAGGGGGCGAGATGGTAGCGAGGTGCTGGGCCCCTGGACGAGGATCAAGGTCCGAAGCTGTCTTGTCTTCGGGAGCTGTCGTCGTCGCCGCCCTGGACGTATCTCGAAACGAAACGACGTTTTTGTCCGAGGAGGTGCCAGACGAGGACGGGGAGGGAGATGAGGAGGCAGGAGCATCAATAGCAGTTGAAGCAGCAATTGGGCCGCCTTGAAGCCGTCTTTCGACTGCCGGCGAACCACTGCCCCTCTCTCAAAGAGAGGTCCACAGAACGCTCGAGAGAGGCACCGAACGACCAACTTCCGGCTGGAACTTGCCCCTTCGTGTATGCTCAGCCCACGCCAATTATCTGTCGCTGTGCCCCAGCCTCGGTCATACCGCCCTCTGGACTTCTCCTTGCGGGCCGCGAACACCAAAAGTGTATGCTCAGCCCACTCTCACAAATCCCTCCCGTGCGGACATGAGGGCCGAGGGGAAGAGACCCAGCGACACCGCTCCCGCGGCGCCCGCGCACTCTTCCCCCGCAGGTCCGCCCACGGCGACGGCAGCACCGAAGACCGGCCGCACCAACAGCGAAGCCGGCGCCGACCGAGATCGACGTGCCACAGGCAGCCCAAAGGGCGCAGCGACGCGGCACCGAATCGAGCCGACCGACCGCAACCGACTGCGACGCAGCCGGATGGACCGAACCGCACATACCCTTACCATGCAAGCCCGCTACGACTCGTGGCGACCGGAGGGGGCGACAAGCTGCAGCGAACGGGGCCCGAGAGGGCCAGGGTGCAATGCTCATCCACCCTAAACTCTTCGTGCGCAGTCCTTCAGAGCCGCGGACCCTCAATAGGCAGCAAGATGGGACTTGTCAGGAGGAGACTTGCTCTGAATGCAAAGATGCCTGGTAGCAAAACTCAGAGGGCACACCATCCGTCCCTCTCCCCTCCTCCACTCCTCTTCCGCCTCTTCCTTGTCACCCCCCCTTCCCCCGTCCCCCTTCCCCCACCCCACCTCCCACCCCATCGCCCCTCCCTCTCCTTCCCCCCACTCCGAGCTCCCCACACGCACGGGCGCCGCAGCCGCGCCCTCTCCTGCCGCACAACGCGCGTCAGGCCGCGTGGTTTCGCGACTGGGGCCCACCGAAGCTGGGCCCGCCGCCCGGCAGGGGGCCCGGCCCCTCGGAGGGAGGGGCCTCGCACAGGAGGCCAGCTTCTCAGAAGTCAGCTCATGTATATACATTAGAAGTCGGGACGCTGGCCATCAGCTAGGGCTCCCAACTTCGCGCTTCGCGCTGCGCGAAGCGCGAATAACTTCGCGCTCTCGCGCCGCCCCCCCAAAGGGAGAAAAGGAGGACGAGGAGGAGGGGGAGAAGGAACGAGGACCGCGAAGCGCGAAGCGCGAATAACTTCGCGCCCTCGAGGGAGCCCTTGCATCAGGAGGACGGGCGAGCTCGTGCCCCTGTCCCAGGCCTCTGGGCGTCGCGAGGCGTCGCGGCGGGCTCTCGGTTTCTCTCTCTCCGCGGGGGCGAAGACACGCAGCATATGCGCATACACGGTCGGAGCTCCGCGCGAAGTTCGTGGATCTGCGCTGGGCCCCCGTGGCGGCGCCGCCAGCGCCGCCCCCATGAAGAGGCAGCAGAGAGGCGCTGAGGAAGCCCCGCAGAGGGCGGCGACGAGGAGGAGGAGGAGGAGGAGGAGGAGGGGGAGGAGGAGGAGGAGGAGGAGGAGGAGGAGGAGGAGGAGGAGGAGGAGGAGGGGAAGGAGGGGGAGGAGGAGGAGAGGGGGGTCCAGCGCCGATGCAGGAGCTTCGCGCGGAGCTCCACGGGCTTATGCTGCTGCCGCGATGTTTCCCCTTCGCCTCTCGCGGTCGCCGTGCAGGCCCGGAAGCCGACAGGAAAAGGCGACGGGGTCGAGGAAAAAGCTCCAGTCGTGAGAATAAAACGACGCTGGAAATCTACTCTACAGCCAGAGGCGTGCATCGCAGCAGCCCGAGTGCCAGCAGCGCGCTGAAGGTACGCGGCACTGACCCGGTTCGGTGCTTCGCGACGACGAACATCTCGGGAAGGTCGCGTTTTGCAAAAGAGCGAAAAAGCACAGCACAGTAGTCCTGAATGCGGACATTGTCGTCAAAGGTCCAAGTCAATCACGACACGAGCCGAAGGACTCGACTGTGCCCTGGTCGGCAAAGTCGAGTTGGCGGAGTGAGCACAAGTATGATCTGATTCAAGCTCGAACCCCGGGCAGTACGGAAGAACTCGCGAAATCGATGCTACTCAAGCTGCGTACAAATTACAACATAACCACTTGCATGTTCTACTCTTCATAAAGATCCAAGCAATCCCACCAGCCCTCTGGGCGTCGGTGGTTTAGGGAGTTTCCTCTTCCACCCCTCCTTCTTCCCCTTCGGGAGGGTCTTACCCCTCCCCCTACCCCCTCCCCATGGACGTGGACAGGGGGTTCCGCGAGGTGTCGGAGCGTCCAAAACGGCCTCGGCGAGGAAGCAACAATCATTGGTTTTACTAGGGTTTGGGCCCCATTTTGGCCTCCTGGGGGGGGGGGGGGCGTAATTAAGGACACCCCCTTCGTTGACCGATATCATCCAAGATGGTCCCAAAAGAGCTCCTAAAGCTTCCAAGAACGCCCCGACAAGGCCCCCAAAGGAGCCCAGACGGGCCCCAGAGGCGCCCAGGAGGCCCCAAGAGGCCCCAGGATGGCCCCAAGATAGCTCCAAAATGGCTCCAAGAGACCCCCAAAAAACCCCCAAGGGGACCCCAAGCGGCCTCCCCGAGGCACCCAAGACGCCCAAGAGCCCTCAGGACCGCCAAGAGACCCCCGAGACGTCCCAAAAGGCTTCAAAGCAACCACCCACGAGGAATCCCAAGAGGCTCCGAGAGGCATTCAAGAGACCTCCAAGAGACCCGAAGAGGCTTCACGAGGATCCCCGAAGCCCCCAAGATACCCCCGAAACGCTCCAAGAGGTGTCCAAAACAACCCCCAAGAGACATCCTAAGAGGATCATATGTCCGCCCTGTTTCCTCCTCCTTATCCTTGTCCTTCTTCTTCTTATTATCCTCCTCCTCCTCCTCCTCCTCCTCCTCCTCCTCCTCCTCCTCCTCCTCCTCCTCCTCCTCTCTTCCTTTTTCCTCCTCCCCTTTTATCCGTCTACTCATCATCCGAGAACCAGCACCATCAGCAACAACAGCAGCAGCACTAGCAACAGCAACAGCAGCAGCAGTACCAGCAGGAGCAAGACCACCAGCAATACAACTTGCAACCTTCGCCACAAAAAATATCCCGATTCACCGTTGTTGCCCGCTCCGGTTCACTATGCGAGTCTCTTCTTCCCTTCTTCCGTCAGCTTTCGTGGGGATATTTTTTTTTGGTCGGCGGCCGCGCGACTACGGTCTGGCGGCGACAAGCGTGTCCGGGACGGCGGTACAGGCAAAACTGGTGGGGATATTTTTTAATAAATAAAAAAACCGCAGGCGGAAGCGCCGGCGGCGAGCGGTCACGGTCGGGCTGCGGCCGTGACGAATTACCCGGGCGCGAGCGGGGGCCGCGGATCAGGCGGCGGGGCAAGCAGCAACCCAGGGCGTCTGAGAGGCCAGGCGGTCGTGCAAGCTGCAACCCAGGGAGTCTGAAAGGTCAGTCACCCAGGAAGCAAAGCGGACGCGGCCAAAATGGCGCGCTGTACATTCCCAGTCATGGGTCGTGACAACCGACAACCGCATGGTGGTGGGAACCACACTCCGTGAGAGAAAGTCAGCCCAGGGAGTCTGTCGGGTATGAGCAGACCGAAACCGTAGCTGACGTCGTCCAGCAAGGAGAAGAATTCTGACAGCGCCAGCGAACCGTCGCAGCTTCAGAATACGCATCCACGGCTGACAGAATGAGCCTGAGGTCGAAGACAACTGAGGCCACCTCAAAACAACTGCTGAGAGATGCGCCTGCACGCAGGAGACCAGAGATATGGTGTGCCGCAGTGCAGAAGTACACGGGTACCCAACTGGCGAGAGACACGCGGTCAATCGGAAGTAAGCGTGCACCAAACGACTAAATGACAGCCAGCGCCTCGCAACCCACGCAACGCCAGGTCGAGGAAAGCGCTCGAAGAGGAAGAAACTGCCGTACACCCACGTCAGCAAGCCCTTCACGGTCACAGAGTCCCAGGGAGTGGTCGCACAACGAGGTTGCGCGTGGGAGCGACGATAGGGAGACCGAGTGCCCGTCACACGCCGAGACCGCGCATCACTGCCCACAGGGTGGCATAGCACAGCCAACAGTGGGAGGCAGCAGTGAACAGGGTCACGTCAGCGAGCCAGTCAGCGAGCGGACCAGGTGGGCATTCCGCAACCACGGCGGGGCGACCCACGACAAGGGACTGCCTGTGCACCACGTGACCCAAGCGAGGGTCCGAGCCCAGTGTCGCTCCCAGGAAAGGTAGAGATGCACGGCTGAAGGCCGTAGTAACTTGGGAAGCCCAGGGAGTAGAGGCGCAGATCTGGGAATGACGGGGCGAAAACCACCAGGTCATCGGTCTCAGAGCTGCGTGCCAGGCAAAGCCTGGCAATGTGAAAACAGCTACAGCGGGGCCAGGGGCCACTATGGCCACACGCAACAGCAATGCGGACGGCATTGCTGGCACACACACACACACACTTGGATCCAAAGGCAGGAAGTGCACGTACCAGGAGGGGCGGCAGGATGCCGCCAGGCGGGTCTGTCGTCCAAGGAGCAGCTGAAGGCCGCTGTTGATAGAGAAAACCCAGGGATTATAAGCGCGTCTCGGGAGTGGCCCTCGGTCGGTCCCGAAGCAGCATAGCCGAGCACAGGACCGCTCGGGCCACAGGTGAGAATCACTACAGCGGGGCCAGGGGCCAACTAGGGTCTGCGCGCTGCGCTCCCCCGCGCAGCGAAGCAGATGGTATTGCTGGTCGACACACTTGGGTCCAAAGGCAGGAAGTGTGTGAACCAGGGAAGGAGGCAGCGAGGCTGCCACACGGTTGGGAGAGAACGGGAGGCAGCTGAAGGCCGCTCACAGTGTGTAATAAGGTTGACGTCTCTGTCCGCCTAGGTGCGGGATGGGTGGGAAGGGAGCTCAGTCTCCCCATCGATGCCTCTTTTCGCCGCGCTCGTCAGGTCTGCCTCCACCGCGCTTGCCTCCCGTCTGCCAACGGTCGTCGTGCCAGCCGTCGCTCCAGTCGCTCTGCCAGGTGCCCCAGGTGTCCCAGGAGCTTGACGCTCGGTCGCGCCAGCTGCTCTGCTGGTGGTTGCCTTTGCCCTTGCCATCGGGCCGGGTGCGACGCAGGTACTCGGCCCGCACTTTGGCCCAGTCGATGCGGTAGTCGAGCCTCGTGTCCATCAAGTAGGCGTTGTATCCGCAGCCCTTCCAGTCGTCCAAAAACTTGATGATGGTCGCGTCCGTGTGCAGCCTCGGGTCTGATTTGGGCCCCCTGGATCCAGGGAGCCGAATGCCTTGTGTGTAGGCGGTCCACAGAGCGCAGAATACTGCACCCAACTCCGTTTGGTGCCCGGTGAGGCTTGTGGCGGGTGGCTCTCCGCGGCGCTCCAAGTCCACTGTGCCCAGCCAGACCTTGTACATGGGGCCCCCGTGTGAGTCGGTCACCAGGTTGAGTGTATGACGATCCGTTGAACGAGGGTAGGTAGGCCTATGTCCAGGGACCTGTGGGTTGCGTAGTGGGGGACGACGGCTCCGCACGTCGCCCCTGTCGCGGGCAATCTCATCATAATCTGATCCCCTGGCTTCACTGGCATTTTGGTCGGTACTAACCGGGCCACCCCGGGCAGCAGTCGGGTCGCGGTCAGAGCTGGGTTCCGAGCTGTCTGCCGTTGGGCTCCGCTGAGGCGCCTTGTCGCCCGGGCCGTCGTCGTCGACCTCGGTGGCAGAGCCCGAACAGGATACAGGAGGAGGAGACTCGTGGGTTTTTTTTTTCAAAGTCGGGTGACTCCACCTTTTCCGTAGGAGGGATCACGTCTTCACCGCTCTCGTCCTTGACCGTGTGGTCGGGCGGGCCCGGGAAACCCAGACGCGAGTCGTCGTCTCTCGTGCCCAGGGATTTGTCTGCGTCGGCCGCCGTAGGGGTGCCAGGCCTGTCCTCACTCATGGTCTGCACGTGCGACTCGGCCAGGGAAGTGATGGTCGTCGAGGCCAGGGCGTCGGCGCTGAGGCTGAGTAGGAAACTCGTCAGTGTGCCCATTTCATGTCTGAACGGGCTGAGGCCACTCGCCGGGGCGAGGATCGAGGCGTGCCTCTCCCAGGACTCCTTATGCTTCTCGCCGTTGGTGAGGTGGGCGACGACCCGCGCCGCGGCCAGCCGTTTGCCCTCCCAGGGCTGGTTGAGCGGGACACAATCCTCAGGGATGCATTCGCCGTACGCCGTCCTGAGGAACTCCGTCAGACGTCCGCCCAGCCAGGAGGCTTCGTCGCTCCTAGGCTCTGGGATGCTGCTGTCGCGGTTAGTGAGACAGAACTGTCGCCAGGTGTAGTCCAGCCCAGGGTGGAAGTCCCGGAGGTAGGTCACCAGGAGTCGCTGTACGGACAAGTCTCCGCTGCCCGGTCCGCTCCTGGGGTCGTCTGGGCTCAGCGTGGGGTTGTTGACGTCCCTGCTGTCCAGGAGCGGGCCCTGCGGGACTGGCAGCTCTGGCAGGAGCTCCATGAGCTGTGCTAGAGACCTGGGGGCGCGCTCGGCAGCGGAGGCAGCACCACCCGCGGCGCTAGACCCAGGGAGGTTTGTCGCTCCGGCCTTGGTGAAGCGATCTTGGGCCTTGGCGTCCGGGTGGCAGGACCGATATTCCATACGGGGGCCAGGCAGCGTCGGCAGCACCAGGTGGCGTTCCAGCTGCGCTCCCACCAGGCTATGGCACGCCTATCAATGGGGGGCAGTCCGGCCTGCTCGGGAACCCCTACCCCCTCCGCTGGCTTCCATATGAAGCAGCCCAGGGGAGGGGCTCCTGTGTTCCAGACGAGGAGCGGAGCCCCTGGGGGGCATGTGTCGCACCGAGCGGAATAGATTTGGCTCTGCGCAGCTTTGAGGCCGAACCGTTCGTCTCGGATCCGTAGGATGGGAATGGTGGCGTTGGCGCGCTCAGGGATCTGCATGCCGGTCGGCGTCATGATGAGGTCCGATAGCGACCTCGTGTCCGCCTGGGGGCTGCATCCAAAGCCAAGTGGGAGGTGACCCAGTGAGGGGAGAGCGTCCGCCTTTTCGTTGCTTGCGGCACTCGTCCTCTGCT